CGGGCAATCATGTCGAGTTCTTGGCGTATAGGATTCTGTATCTCTTGCATACAAAGAATCGTCGAGGTAGGTTGCCATTTCTTTTCCCCACTCGACTCTGGACCGACTGACCCAGAGAGAAAGAGATCGCCAAACACAAACGACACCCGAACTCCGTGCTCGTGCTCGGTCGGCTTCTCTCTGTTCATCCTTTTGTCTCGGGATCTCTCGCTTGATCCGTGTGCGGAATTCCCTTGATCCTGACACTGACACTGACACTGACAATCCACATTCCTATTGTTTCCCTTTGTGTTTTCGATTCTGGCACGGCGGGGGTGCTGGTCCGACAACGACATCAGACGTAAACGCACTCATGTCGGAACTGACGCCAGAGGCCAAGGCGGAACCAGCCGTCGAACACGCGCTAGCGGTGCGGTCGGCGCTCGTGACCGGAAACTACCACGCCTTTTTCCGGCTATATACCCACTCGCCCAACATGAATGCGTACATCATGGATCACTTTGTTGAACGGGAACGTATCAATGCCCTTCTCACCCTGGCTAAGGCGTATGTATCCACCCCCCTTTCCCTCAACCCCCTCGCGGGTCAACAGGTCACTTGATATCTCGACCTTTGATCTTTGATCTTTAAGCTTGGAGAGTTTACACAATATCACTGGCTGGCTGAAGAGAAGAAATGTTGACTACAAATACCGACACTGACACTGACAACGACAACTTGCTGCCCCCCCCCCCCCCCGGGGGGTCTTGTCTTGTATCCGCCTTCGTCGACATTGATCTTTTTCGAACGCACTCAACGGGGACTTGGGACTTGTACAGCTACCGACCCTCACTCACCCTGCAATTCATCTCCGACGAACTCGCCTTCGATTCCCTCGAACAGACCCATGACTTTCTCTCGGCAAACAACGCCGCGGTTTATATCCAACCCACCCCCCTTGCCTCTGAATCAAAACCCCATGCTGCAGCTCTTCCAACTTCAACTTCGACAAAGAAGAAAAAATCGAAACCTCAACCCTCCCAGTCTCCACAGATCCCACTCGAGGCGAAATTGTGGGATCCAAAAGCTGCACTAGACCCCCTTGCCACCGCGATTGCAAAGTATCGCAAGATCGACGTAGGTTTCCCATCTCCCTGGTCTGACTTTCAAGTACACGAACCCGGCTGACCTTTTGCGCTTGCTTTTCCGCTTCTTGCCCATCAACGCTGGTTTGTACGCATTTCCATGCACCCACACAGATCAAAGGTCAGATTTGAAAATTTTTGCAATCGAAACACGACACTCTTGCACAAAATTGCCGACCTGGAGGATCGTAGCAGAGTTTGGGATGGCTAGATGGCCGTGCCAGTAGCGAGCGCTTGTTCGAGGATGGTCTACAACGTATGCGTTGCAAGCCGAAACAACGCGAAGAAAGATCAGGCAAGGACCTCGGGATGAATACCTCTGGGAGGACTCCGAAACCGGTCAAGCAAACGTTGTTATTGGACGGACGTGAGAGGGAAGCGATCTACAAAGGGCCCGCATGACGATCTTTGGAAGTCGCTATCGACAGTAGAAGGATTGCAGAGTGGTCCAGCAGTGCTTGCACCCTCGGCAATGGCTGCTTCGGGATGGCTCTACAGCACTCCGCAAAGTCATTGAGAAGCGTGCCATACTAGACATAGGAACATTAAGACCCGCATTTGTTCAATGTCCGCGATAGCTTCTGCGAGGGAGCCGTAGGGCTTTGATGTCGGTTCAAATCTTTCCATGGTTTGACAGAATATAGGACGGTGTCCTGAAGCAGCCAATTTGCCGTCCAGAATCTTTTTTCCGCCTGCCATACGGATGATTCGTCTGAGGATTCTTTCAAACAGCATCAGCTTTACATATTCGTTGAGAGTGCATCTCCACTCTATGCGCTCTATATCCTGAAATCACGTTTCACGCTCATATGGAATTCTTGTATGGAGTTCTTCCATCTTGAGAAGGAGATCAACAAGCCGCTCATCATAAGCAAGCCGTAGGTCAGGTGACTGTACAATTGAGGAACCTGAAGAGCCGGCACATGTCGTTTGAGGGTCCGCTTCTTTGCTTGACTCAGCTGCGCCAGGATTGTGCTGCCACTCTGCATAGACATGACGTTAAGAAGCAAAAAAGGAGAAGCTCGTTGTTGGAACGAACTCGTTTTGGTGTCGTAGAGGGAAAGATCTGCGATATCGTGATGATGGAGCTCGTCGAAGACGGAGTCAGAGTGGCTTTAGTGGAACAAAAACAGTATAGGAGGAGGGGTAGCCAGGACGTGGAGGGTAGACGAGGCGGTATTCATGCTGGAATATATACCCTAGCGCTGTAGCTGAAAGGTTACGTCGGGCAGTATCTGTTGTTGAGTATGAAGAAGAGCATAGTTATCAACCAGAATGGCCACAAATTCCGCTCGTCTCTCCACTGCACTGAGCACTTGTTGTCTAGGAGACGCTGAGCGGGTGAAATTCCTTTGAAAGGAGTGTAGTCACATCGCAACATCACCCTGCGCCGTAGCAATGATAGCTTGGCTATTCTGTGCGGAAAAGAGCAGGTGATCTCTGAAAACTTCCTCGAATCGTCACACGGCGCTAGAAATGAGCAAGTTCTTCGTCGCTGCGGAAGCCGTCGGCGAGCGGTTGATTCAGATCAATGCTGCACAAGTGCGCAAGCCAGTTGAAGCGGGGTTGTGTGAGCTAGTCTTCTGGCCAGTTCTCACGTCTCATGCCCTCCCGTTGCAGTATTGGAACATATGTGACTGTGCACGCTCGTTTGCTCATGGATGAAAGCCATAGACAAGGAATAGATCAATGGCAGATTTTACAGGACAGAAGCACTGAGACAGCTTGGCCATATGTTGATGGACTCAAGGCCCCCATTACTGTAATTGCTGAGAGACGAGTGAGACAGAGAGAGAAAATGACGGTACAGGAGTCGGACCGTCTGTCTACTTTCCCAGCCACTCGCGAGGCTGTTCGGATGCACACGCGGCGCAGAGCACAGATCACGGCACGTTGTCATCCCGAATTGCGAGATTCCGTTACTCCACCTCTGTGCATCTCTTGGTCGAACCGTGTTATTTTCTACCTTCTTCCAGTGACTACGGTCATCACAACCATCACATCCCGCTAGCCATCGGCGCATCTTCTTGACATCACCTCGATACACGCACAAGGCTCATTTACGTGGCTCAGCTGGGAAGGCAGTGAAGCACATTTGTAAAAAGATAAAGGATTCGACAGCCTCAAGTGCACACGCTACATAGCAGTAATCGCTCAGTCACGCACGTGCAGCCAAGGTAGACAACACCATCGTCACACAAGCATCATGTCGTGGTTCTCCAATCAGTGGAACCGATGGTCCAACAATAGCACGTCGACCGACGGATCACTCGGAGGTGACCCGAACAACATTCGTCGGATCGAGGTGATATGGGGACGAGAGAGGTAAGTCGAACAAGATCGGCAATACTGTCACTGAGAAGTTCCTCTAACCGAGCGCTGTGATCTATCGTGTACTTATGATGCTGACCTTCGGATGCGCCGTCCAACAGACTGCAAATTGTTCTGCCAAGAACGATCGGTCCGGTGACACTGGCACACCTCAAGCACGAGATTGCATCCATCACTTCGTTGCCCTACGAACGGATCAAGCTCATTCACAAGGGTCTCATCATGAAGGACGATCGCTCTGCACTTTCGGCATACGGGCTACGTGAAGGCTCGAGGATCGGACTTGTCGGTAGCAGGGAGGAGGGCGACAAGCCTGGCAACAAGACGCCCGCCCTTTCGTTGGGCGAGCAAAAGGCGAGAGAGAGAAAAGCGCGAGAGGCCGACACGAGCGAAGAGGGGCTCATGGGACGGATCACCGAGGCGCTCGACATTGCGCGCAAGGACCTGTTCCCTGATGTGCATCGGGTAGAGGCGAGTCTCGATGCGATGCGAGGAGTGCCCGGCGCCACCAAGACGACGCCGACAGCACCATCGACGACGGCATCGGCCCCAGCACCAGTCGCTGCATCGCAACCCGCCCAGCCGTCTGCCTCGACGGAACCGTCACAGCAGGACGCAGCGGCATCATCGGCAGCACCGACGTCGACACCAGCCATGTCGCGAGAAGAGATGGCGGATGCCCACCGTAGGCTCTCGGAACTGCTGCTGCGACAGCTGCTGGCACTCGACTCGGTGGCCGTCAACAGCGAAACCACGCGACAGGCACGCAAGCTTGCCGTCAAAGAGGTGCAGTCGCATCTCGACCGACTGGATGAAGCCTGGAACGCGGTCAAGCAGATCCCTCAGCAACCGGGCAGCGGTGGATCCGGCGCCATCAAGGGCCCCGCGCTGTGATGCCTTTTTTCCTTGTTTACTTCCAACAGCACCTAGCACGCAGACACATCTTCTCTGCTCGTTTCCTCTTAACTCGCCCTCCGTCATATTATAGAGCATGTCTCATTCATTGCAATGCCGATACTTGACGCTATGCATGAGAGATGCTTTTTTTGATTTCTTTGCGCCGATGTTGGCTCGAGCAAGTGATGGAGCAGACTGTTCGGTCGAAAGTGCAGGTGTAGTGTTAGAGTACTAGTGCTGGATGGTGATCTTCGGTTAATTGCGAGGCGTTCAAATAGGAGAAAAAAATGCACACTCCGTTCGGGGAGAGATTATTGAGGCGAGAGATTAGATTTCGAAAAGTACAGAGACACAGAAGCAAGACGGGAGGAGGAGCTGATTGATGGAGGCCTGTCTCGAGTCACTCGCCCAGGTATAATACACGTACTAGTAGTATGGTCGTGTGGGTCCAATTCCGAAAGCATGTTCTAGACTCAGCAAGCACATTGGTTGCGTTGCGTTGGACAGCCAATTTGCATTTGCACCTCGGCCTCACAAAGAGATGCGCAAATGACAGTACCAGCACATAGCAATTGCAAGCAAGATTAGTCTTCGCTGTAGTGCAAAGGTATGTATATGAACAGCGCTTCAGGCTTAACTAGGAACCGAGGCAGTATGCCCGAGTGGTTAAGGGGTCAGTCTTGAATTTATGCTGAAACAATTCACGTCGCAACTGATGCGATCTTCGTGCCAGAGTTCAAATCTCTGTGCTGCCGCCATCTTTTATTTTACTCTAAAAAAAACCCTCTCAAATGCGCCAACATTCCAATTCATTGATCCAATTCAATCCAGTTCTTCTTCCTGTTGCACCACGTCGACATCACTTCCAGCTTTTTTTTCCCCACATCCATATCTTTTGCGGATTTGAACGATACCCCCTAGCACTTTGCACTCGCTGGTTCAGGAGCACTACATTACAACGCCTTCGGTACAAAACAAAGACCAGCCAAGATGGCGACCTCGACGGGCGCCCGCAAGTTTACCATCAAGGTGCCGTGCACTTCTTCCAACATTGGGCCTGGATTTGATGTGGTTGGGCTGTCGCTGTCGCTCTACCTGACTTTGGAGGTGACGGTGGATGCATCTTCTTCGTCCGCGTCTGCCATTCCTGTGCTGGCGTACACCGGGCTGGGGGCGGAAGAAGCGCCGTTGGATCCATTCAAGAACCTGACGACGCGAACCGCACTGTACGTGCTGCGCTCCAACGGCGTCTCCACATTCCCCGCCGGTGTTTCGATCCAGGTGCACAACGAAGTTCCGTTTGGTAGGGGCCTCGGGTCGTCCGGTGCCGCCGTGGTTGCGGGGCTGTTGCTCGGCAATGCTCTCGGCAACCTTGGTTTGGACAAGGACCGGCTGCTGGATCATGCTCTGATGATCGAACGACACCCCGACAATGTAACTGCTGCTCTGATGGGTGGATTCGTCGGTTCCTATCTGCTCGAACTTTCGCCGGAGGAAGAAGAGCGACGTGACGTTCCGCTGTCGGAAGTCATCCCCGAATACCCGCCTAATGCGTCGGAGGATTGGGGACGACATCCACCATCCCCGCCGCACGGCATTGGTCACTACATCCGCTTCGGCTGGGCGAAAGAAATCAAAGTCATCGCCATCATCCCCGACTTCCAGGTCTCCACCGCCAAAGCCCGCTCAGTCCTCCCGAACAGCTACACGAAACAAGACCTCATCTTTAACCTCCAGCGTCTAGCCGTCCTCACGACCGCCCTGACGCGCTCCCCGCCCGACCAACACCTGATCTACCAAGCAATGCAGGACAAAGTCCACCAACCCTACCGCAAAACCCTCATCCCCGGCCTCCCCGAGGTCCTCGCCTCCGTCACCCCCCAATCCCACCCCGGCCTCCTCGGCATCTGCCTCTCCGGCGCTGGCCCCACCATCCTCGCCCTCGCTACTACCAACGAACAGCACATCGCAGACACCATCATCACCACCTTCAAACACTACGGCATCCAAAAGTGCGACGCCAAATTCCTCCAGGTTACTACCGAAGGCGCTGTTTGCACTGAACATTAAACGTGCACTCTCTTCTTTTCCCCTCCCCTCTCTCTCGCTCATTCTCTCTCTCTCTCTCTCGAGAAGAGAAAAGAACGAAAGGGGAGAACAAAATCTGGCTCGTTTTCACATTCACATTCACATCCAACGCACTTTCTCTCCATGTCTCTAGGACAGTTGCACTATCTGCAAGCTTCAGCCTCCCGGTCCCAGTTCCGACGCCCGAGGTATGAGCTGTCTCAGAAAACCCCCATGACGAATCCAACATTCGACAAACGATTTGCAAAAAGCTAGTATTTCAACACCCGCCACCGCTTTCGCCATCGCCGACCACCTACCACCTCTGCCCAGCAGCCCGAGAAGCAGGGAACCCGGCCGATGTCGAAGCCGATGCAGCTGCGAACTTGTACGTGGCGTTGCTGGACGGATTGGTAGCGGGATTGGAACCTAACGCCGCCGCGTCGGCATTAGCTCTAGCGAGGAGATGAGCGACTGTGATCTGGAAGGTGGCCACGTCGTCGTCGGTGGGGTGGACAAGGGAGTCGGGAAGTTCGTAGATGTAGAGACGGCCGTCGGTGCCGGCGGTGGCTGCGAACTTGCCTGATTTGGCGAAGCTGAGTTTGTTGAGTGCTTTTGCCGGGCTACTTGAAGCCAGAGGTGGGAGGGAGGGTGATGGGTCGACTGTCGAAGTTGAACTTCCTGCTGGGCCTGATCCTCCTGCTCCTGCTCCCGGTCCTCCCAAAGAAGAAGCAGAGAGGGAAGGAAAGCCCGACGAAACGGGCCTCTCAGTGTCAGCATTGAGATTGAAAATGTCGATGCGACCGGTAGCATCCACCTGCCCAAACACCGCTGGGTGGGTGGGACTCCATTTGACATCGTAGACATAGTCGTTGGACTCTTCAAACGTCAGGATCGAGGACTGGAGAGAGTTTGCACCCGATCCTGAGCCGGTATTCGAGGTAGAAGAAGAGTGCGTCGTTGTGCCCGCAGATCGGACAGGGTGGGTAGTCGAGGCGGAAGAGGAGGAGGATTTGAGCCGCCATAGTTTGACAGTCCAGTCCATGGACGAGGTTAAAAAGAGGTCTGAAAAGTCCGTGTGGTTGGTAGCTGCCGAGAGGGGATGAAAGTCGATACCGGTAACAGGGGCGAGGTGACCGCGATAGACCTCGTTTGCATTGAAGCCAGCCTTGAGGCCAGCTCTATCGTATCTGTTTGCCGAGTAGACGTTTCCTTCTTCAGTAGCTACTAGGAAGGAGGTAGTTTCCTGGTCCGGGACGCCAAGGGCGGTGATTGCAACCTCGTCAGTCTTGGGGTGAAGCGGGTTCAAGAGCTCCAGAGACTCAGAGGGGCGGGCGAGCATGTCCATCATCCACCAGCAGATCGAGCCGTCCGTCGAGGCCGATACGAGGTTATGTGCGTTTGCACTCCCGACGAGTTTGAGGCCGTAGACCGGGTGGGTGTGTCCGGCGGCCGAGAGCGGGGTTTTGAGAACCGGCAACGACCGGGCCCGTGTATCCCAGATCAGGATCTGGCCGGAATAGGTGCCCCCGATCACAAGGTTGGGATGAAACGGACTAAAGCAGACGGAAAGCACGTCGGTCTGCGCATGGAACACAAACTCGGGGCGATCGCGAAGATGCAGGTTCCACACAGCCACCAGGCCGTCGGGAGAATCCTGATCGTTCGAGTTGCGATTGTAGGCAGCAACGACGAGCTCCGGATATTTTGTGCTCCAGTCGATCGCGGTAATGCTACGATTCTCAAACAGCTTGTCCGAACTCGCAAAGGTGCGATGCAGCCGAATCTGGGATCCCGAATTCGAGCTCTCGAGCCCGTCACTATCGAGAATACGATAGTCCCGCATGTAGTCGTAGCTATCCGCAAGCGCCCGCTCCACAATCTTGCTAGACTGCTCGACAAAGTCTCCAAAGTCTTGCGCAGAGTAGACTGCGATGCGTTCGGCGTCGGTGAGCTCGCGCAGTTGTTCTTGGATTTCGCGCTCGAGGCGGTCTTCTTCCTGACGGGCTGCGAGCTCTTGGGCGTGTTCGGCGAGGATGCGTGCTCGGATGGACTGTTCGGTTTCTTTGAGCCGTGCCTCTGCACCTACGCCGCCGCCATCTCTTCTCGTGCGTCCGTTGGCAGTGCGTGCCTGTGGACCATTGACGCCGTCGTAGTCGTCCTCGTCCTCGTCATCGTATTCGTCGTCGTTGAGCGTGCCGCTCTCGGTGGTTTGCACTTCCTTGGTGTAGTAGACGCGTTCGCGTTCCTTGAGCGGCAGGGGCTCGGTCGCTTGGATCTCGGCATCTACGAACTGGACGGGATAGTCGCGGGTCGAGGCTGCATCTGTGCCTGTGCCTGTTGCTCCACCAACGGCCGTAGTCGCGGTAGCCGCGCCCGGAGTTAGGGGAGTAGAATCGATCTCGCTTTCACCAAACTCGGACGAAGGGGGATCGAACCCGCTTGCACGACTGATCAGGCTCTTGCGAGGCGAGAAATCGCCAGTTGCAGGCGATCCGATGATGGACGCTCTGGAGCTGCGGGTTGCGGAAGTGCCTGTTGTCCCGGAGCCAGAGATGAGAGCATTGACCAGGTCATCCAGATCCTTTTTGGAGGTAGATGTACCTGAAGTGGCGCCGGGGGTACTGCTACCGGCACCAGCAGATTGCGAGGTGGAAGAGGTAGATGCTTGGAGTCGCTGTGCACGTTGTTCGCGCTGTCGACGGATTTCGAGCAGTTTGGCCTTTTTGGCCTCGATCTCGGCCTTGCGCTTGGCATCGGCGGTAGAGGAGGAGGAGGAGGAGGACATGATGGTATATAGTGTGCCGTGCCCACACAAGGGGTAGGGAAGAAAGTTGTGGCCGAGTGATGAGGGTTGGTGCGATGGAGACGACGCCAAGGTGGAGCAACAAGAAGCATGTCCAAGGGTCGTGGTCGTGGTTGCATGCGTGCGTGCGTTGCAAGATCAACACTTGACACTCACACACTTCTCTAGCACTTCTCACAACTGCGCACTCCCACTTTCGACGACGCGCAGCCGAGTGTGCTTTGCTTTAACACTTTGAAAAAGAGAGAGAGAGAGAGAGAGAGAAGAGAGAGAGACATATGCATCCGTGTTCTTGCAGAGCGCAAATATAATGTGTGTTACTTTTTCATAAAGCTGCCAGTCTAACATATTGGCTCTTTTCCACCGACGCGTTGCTCGACTTCGTTGCCGATGTGGTTGCCGAACACTGTACTGTACAGTAATACTGTAAAATGCAACTACAGTAGCAACAACAAGAAGAAAGTGGAGCTATGGCATGGCACCATTCACATTCACATTCACATTCACATTCACATTCACATTCACATTCACATTCACATTCACATTCACATTCACATTCAGGCTGGTGACCTTTCTAGGCTGGCTTCTGTCTACTTACTCTCTCTCTCTCTCTCTCTCTCTCTCCCGCGACCATCGGCTCATCGGCTGCCTGTCAGAACGTGCGTGTCTGGGGCAACATGGCCAACGCCACCATCCGCGGAGCCAAGAGCATCCACGGCACCAACCCGCAATTCCTCATCGAAAAAGTGGTTCGAACGCGCATCTACGAATCCCCTTACTGGAAGGAGCACTGTTTTGCGCTCTCGGCAGCGTCTATCCTGGATCGGGCCGTCTCTCTCGACTACGTCGGCGGGCTGACTGGTCTGCAGCGACCGTCACCCT